GCCGGCAGCAACGAATCAACTTTTTTGCCAAAACCAAAGCAGACGGGAAGGAAAAATAGTTGTTCATTAACAATTTGTCCGAAATATCGTTCTTGAAACGCGCTACTGCTCACTAAATTGGTAAAAATCAAATTTTTTCACTTAATTGTTATATTTTTCTTCATTGTGGTAAACTTCCACATCATCACAGCAGCTGGCTGTCAAACCGAAACCAGACAACTAAGAAAGTCTAAGTTCGGGCGGAGCCGAACATTAAATACCCGGCGCAAATATTAAATATTTGCAGTGTTGCCGTTTTAGCCCTTTGGTGGCTAAATTTAGCTACCACATAGTTTTTTTGGCCACATAAATTTAAAATTGCCCCTAGCCCTTTTTTTGGCCCTTTGGAGAATTTATTCATACTTGGCATGAAAAAGTTGTATATGCTTAATTTTATCTCAGTTTATTTTTCATGTATGTAAGAGATGAATTTTTAAACTAAGAAAGACTGATATATACATATACTTATTGTATGTTCCTTACGTTTTTATACATACATAATCTAAAAGTGTTAGGGCTGTTGGCTTATCTATTACCGATTTAACTATCGTTTAAAATAGATAAGTTTACGGCCCTTAATATGCCTAATTTGTTAAATGGCCCATCAAGTCGATTGACCGTGTATGTTCTTGTGGTGTGATTGTACCAGCTGCTGGTGTGACTTCAAAAACTATTTGAAAATTTTATGATGGTACCAGCATGCTGGTGTCGTGAGTGGTGAAGTTAGCTCAATTTTCTAAGTAAAAATTATTTTGGCGGAAATTTCTTGCACTATATGATATAAAAAAAAAAAACAATGTTTAACAAAATGGCAGAAAAATTGTGAAATTTCGGCTCTAATCATTTCGATCTTTCCTCGACCTCATTTGTAAAGAAATAAATATTGTACTAGCATGCTTCGAGCCTGATGGTACAATCACTTGATGGAGCCAGCAAGTTGGTGTGGTATATTTCCCCTTTAATACAAAAATTTCTTTGGTTGGATAAAATATAAGCTTTTTTCCAGAGTTCATTGTTTTTCTATACCATTACTTATTGAAAATGCTTGCATGTATACTTAAATATGTATATGTAAGTAAAAAATTTTAGCTACCATTTTTAGCCACAACGACTTTTTTTAGCTCTTTTTAGCCCTTTTTTTTAAGGAATTTGGCTACCACCACAAATTATTCGCGGCAACACTGAATATATGTTTTTCACCCTTCCGAAAGCTACCGCTACATGGCCGGGGTGTATCAATTTTGAGTAAATTAATAATAATAATAATAGATTGGCGCTTACACATATGTTAGTGTTTGGCCGAGCTTCTCTTCCGATTTGTGGCGTGCGCCTTGATGTTGTCACACAAAGCGGAGGGACCTACAGTTTTACGCCGGCTCCGAACACCGATTGTATTTTTTGTGAGAAGCTGTTTTTTCATGGCAGAAATACACTCGGGGGTTTGCCATTGCCTGCCGAGGGACGACCGCTGTTAAGAAAAAACTTTTTTTTTGAGTAAATTAGCGTCGTTAAATTTCGAAATATTGAAGTTTCAAGCATTTCTAAAATTTACCGTTATATGAAAAGCCGTAATATTAGTCCGATTTCAAGAATTTTGAACGTTTTCTTTTATGTGGCAAGCACAATAACCTTACCGAGTTTGGTACAAATTGGTAGAACGGTTACCGAGATACATATATGTGATCATAAGTGGGCGGTGCCACGCCCATTTTCCAAAATTTTATCATAAACGTATTTCTTGGTTAAGAATTGTTGCAAGCGTCAATTTTGAATAAATTAGCTTTAATATTTACTAATTTATCGAAGATCTCATATTTCTCTAAATTACCCTAATATGGAATGTGGGCGTGGTTATTGTCCGATTTTAAAAATTTTGGGCCATTTGGTATGCTGTACCAAATCCAACAACTGTGCCAAGTTTCGAAGAAATCGGTGCAGCGGCTGCCAAGATATACACATGTAACCATAAGTGGGCGTGCTACGCCCATTTTTCAAAAATGTATAATATCCTTATTTTTCGTCTAAAAATTATTGTAAATATCAATTTTGAGTGAATAATCTTAAGTAGTTATTAAAATATCGCAGTTTTCGTATTTCTGAAAATTATCGTTATATGGGAGGTAGGCTTGGTTATTGTCCGATTTTGCCCATTTTCAATACCATCCGTCCTACGCCCGAAAGAAGTACACGTACCAAGTTTAATTAAGATATCTTAATTTTTACTCGAATTATCGTGCGCACAGACGGACAGACGGACGGGCGGACGGACAGACAGTCACCGCTTCATCGATTTCTCTTTTCATCCTGATCATTTATGTATACATTTGTCTATCTATCTCGATTCGTTTTGCCTGTTACAAACAACCGTTATGTGAACAAAGTTATAATACCCTTGTGCACAAGTGCGCTCGGGTATAAATAGATACCAGAATATTCAGGGCGCAATCTTCTTTTCTATGATTATTGTACTGCTACTTTGAATTTCTCAATTTTGACAATTCTGATCTAAAAGTAAACGAAACCTCAGAAACTTTAAATGCCCTGCAATTCACTAATACCTACTTCCGCAAAAATCACCTTTTTTTCGTATTTTCCTTGTTAAAAGTTATTTTAAATCATATATTTTTATCGCCTTATTAATAAAAAATAAAAATTTTAAAAAGCTTTTTAAATTGCCGTTTGCAAACATTTTTCAATTTATAAACCTTTTTTATGAATAAGGCTATTAGAATTTAGCACAATACTACTATTAATGGTAACCATATTCATTAAAATCGTTTCAATTCATAATAAAAGTAGTTTACATACTTCTAGTCGAAATATGTTTTTCAATATAAACTAGCTTTTTTAATTCTAAAATAAATCAACAATCTCAAGGCTTATAAAAAAATTTTCTTAAAAAAATGCAAATTAGAATAGAAATTTTGACGCAAAAGATTTTCCGCGATATTTATCATACAAATTTATCACCTTACTTGTCCGTATGTCGCTCTGGAAATAAATATATTTTAATTCATATGTTTTCTTAAAAATAAATGCAAATTTACCTATTTTTTCCACCGGCAGGCACGAATATGGTATTCAAAACAGAAACAATGACAACGAATTTTACACACATTTTTGTATTTTAGCGCAAAACGATAAGTTTCATAAATATTTAAAATTATTGCCTGGAACATACACGTTTATCGTTATTATTGGAAATGCAAGACTTGGCATGCATTTTTAATTTCTCATTTAATCAATTCAAACGAATAAAAACACATTTTTCCAAAATATTTCTCAATTTACATTTTAAAGTTTTTTCTGAAACTTGAATGTAACTCTGTGCGGAGAATGAGAGAATTGAATGGCGCTTTCCATACTTGTAAGCCTATACAATGATTGGCAGTAACCTATCTGCGCAATGTGTTTGGATTTAGCAATCAAAGTAGGGACGGCGGAATTAAATTTATAATCGATTAATGCACCAAATGATTAATTGCAAGAAAATAATCATATTGCAATAAATCGTTAAAAAATAATCGATTTATCGATTATTTTCTTGAACATTTTGAGGTCATTAGGAAAATAAAATTTAACTATACATTAGAAAAAAAACTTAAGTATTTATATCTGTGGTTAGTATTTTAATGAAATATATTAAAGTTTATAATGAATTGACTGTACACATTGTAATGTTTCACAAAGAAAATTTAATACTAATTTTTCATCCATGAATTCAAAAATAAGAGTTTTGAAAGTATTTTCGTTGTTAATCGATTTCGTATTTCATTTGCTGTCGCACCCGCTTTGGAAAAAAGACGTTCCGCAGGAACGAACGTTGCCAGTAAATGGCAGTATTTTAATGACAGTATGTAAAGCTTGGGATAAACTCCTTTCATCTCTTGCCACGCGAAAAGAGGATTGATGTTTAGGTCGATAGGCGGTGAATTAAAAAAATAATGAAATTCATCCTCATCACTATTTGAGTTACACTTAACCGATAGGGATTTGTGTAAAGACCAAATGTCAAACCTATCATCTTCCGACTGTAATGTTAGATCTTGTGATTGGGAAGCAATTGTCGAACGGCTGCTTGTCATTTGTATTTCGTTTTTCAAATGACGTACTGTTGATGACACAGCTAGTGCATCTTCGAAGTGTAACCTCTTAAATCTAGGATCCAATAATGTGGAAGCAGCGAGCAAATATGATTTTTCTACATTAAAAAATCGACGATTGAACTAATGGATGATTTGATCTTTCAACAATTGTGATATTCTATTGCGGCATGTCTGATTCATTATCTTGTCACGTCCACAGTGAACAATTGGGATAACGTGACTCAACGTAGCACTTTTTTCACCGCTAAGTTGCACTGTTATAGCTTCTAGATGATGTAAAATGGCTATTATTTCTTCCAAATAATCTTTTTCCTTAGATGAAATGACATCAGGAGCATCTGGATAATTTAGTACGATTTGGCTGACATACGGCAATAACTTTATGAACCTCTGGAGCATATAAAAGGTGGAATTCCACCTGGTTCGCACGTCCAAAATAAGCTTCAGCATATTCCCTTCTGGGACTCCGGCAGCGCTTTGAACTTTTCTCAAGTCCTCGTTGGAATTTACATGACGCTTTATCCACGATATTAAAGTTCTGCATTTACTTATTAGCTCTTTTACCTCAGGAACATTCAACGAGTTTTCACAAACTAGATTTAATGTGTGGGCGAAACACGGGATATGTTTGTTTTTTTCCAAAAACGTTTACCACTGCCTTAACAATATTTGCACCATTATCCGTTACAACTGCAGCTACATTGTCAATGTTAACTTCGTATTCTGCCAGTGAAGAACGTAGAATACTCGAAATGTAGTCGGCAGTGTGCGCTTCATAGAGCTTAAAAACACCAATTGTCGCACAAAATTGAGTTGTAGATTTAACACAATGAAATGTAATACCCAGCATGCTATTCATTTGAGTATCTGTCCATATTCAGTTGTTAAACAGATATGATTGCAGTCTTTTATAAATGCCTTAAATTTAGTATTTTCTTCCTCAAACAGATTATCAATATGCGATTTGATTGTATTTCTCGTTGGAATTTTGTAGAGAGGAAAATTATTCTTTACAAATTTTTTTAAGCCCACTCCTTCAACAAAGCGGAAAGGTAAGTTGTCAATAACTACCATCTTCGCTATTGACAAAGTTAATTTTGAGTGCTTTTCGCCTCCTTCTATAAAAGTAAAGACTTAGATTTTGCTGAATTATCACCGCATGTTTAAGTAAAATTACCTTTGTAATCTGTTACGTTTGACATAACGTCTAACAAACTTGGCTGGCGAGACCTTTGAAATTTAACACCAGAACACATTTTTGACGCAAGTTCTTTGCCACTGGATTCCTTGCTGATAGATGCAGCAGATGACGTAGATGCGCCTTCCTCAATGAAAATTATTTTGTCGCAATTTTTCTAAAATAATTAAAAGCAAGTATTTAGTTGTTTACAAAGTGTATACCAACTTCCATACCTCGGACTTCGAAATTTCTAAGGCATGCTTTAGCTTCAAATGTTGCATCATATTCGTGGTGTTATTTGATGTATTAATTATTTTTGCACAATACTTGCATTTTGCCAAACTATTTCCTCGCTTATCAAAATGATTCCATGCAATGCTTTTCGGCGGTGCCATGGTAGAATATTTTAACTCTTTAGTAAACTCCAAATGCGTACGTTAATTTTCACGAAGGGTGTCCACTTATAACAGGGTTGTACCCTAATTATTTAGTATAGTTGCTATATGGTTCCGTTTACGTTGATATTTATTTTTAGCCTAGCCACACGTAAAGAGAATAATACTTTTTACTGTTGTTTTGAACCGTGTATATTTTTCGATTATCCTAAGCAAAATAAATCGATTAATCGATTAATTGAGATAAGAAAAATAATCGTTGGATTCAATTAAATCGTTGCGACATAATCGATTTATGCAATCAAATGATTTTAATTGCCATCCCTAAATCAAAGTGAGATAGCTTTGAGCGAAATGTACGTTTTGCGCATGCGCAGGTTTTTCATGTATTAGTATCTGTGAATAAATAAGAAAAATACATTCATGCAAATCTGACCTGTCCTTAGCACTTGAAAATAAATTTTAAGGGGATTGTTTTACTATGGGGTGTTATGCCCCTTTGTTGACGATATTTACTTATACAAACTGAAAATTTATGATGAAGTATTAAAATTTTATTTGAAAGCTACCTGGAAATTAAAAACCGATTTGAAAATTTTTAAAATGATTAGCAATTTTTTAATTTAGAATGTTTAACTCAAACATATTTTTCACTGGGTAAACATTTTCTCACTATTCAGTTGAAAAGGAATAAATAAATACTAGAGTGCCAGCCTCTGTCGAAATTCGACCGTTCTTCTAGTTTTTTAAGACCCTCGAAGAGGTTTTAGCACGTCGTTTAACTTATAATGTACAAAATTATTTGCCGAAAAATCTCCTGCTTTCGAACTAAACCTTAACTTAAATTTTTTATATCTTTGAAGGTTGTTGGCAGGACTTGGAATATAACCGATACATTCCAGTTTGTCGATAAATTTCGATAATTTGATATAGGCTGGCGTTACGCGTACCGTGCTGAGGATCAGCCTGGCTGGGAGCCCCTAAATAGCCCAGTCGCTAACGGAGCCCTCTGGGAGCCAGGCCGCACCCGGTTGCATTCGATGGCCTTACCCTGGGTACTGCGGATCTCTGCCCGGGGCCGACGAACCCTTTCTCCGCGACTAGTGGGAATATGAGCGACACACACAAAAATACAACCAAACAAAAACCAACAACAACAACAACGAAAATTGAGACCGGCACTCACCAAAAGTCGGAAGGGAAATTTCCCACACACCATGGGGCCCATGCGATGCAGGGTCCCTCTACTAGCCACGACGTGGCCAACATCAGTGGAGGACGTAAGCCTCTGGCGATGCCGGGGTCTCGCGCATCCACAAAAGCGGAATGGAATAGGGTTGGGAAACCGAAACGGGATTTTCCCGGCACCAGTGAAGGCAAACCTGGCTTGCACCTTGCAGCCCCAGGGGGCGCTAGAGCTGATGCGCGGGCCCCGCCTCCCCCTATACCTACTGCTTTCACAAGGCCTGATGACATGCCACCACCAAGCGCAGCCATTGCTAAGCACCGGAAGGCTGCCATGAGGATCTTGAAGAGATCCGCTTTAACACCGGACCTGTGTAGCAGGGCGCTGCCCTGTCATGTGGAAGAGATCCGGTCGGAAATAGCGTGGGCAATGACCATAGCGCCCGACTATCAGCGTCCGGTGCTCGGAGAGCCACTAGCTGCGGAAAAGCGCAACAGATCGAGGGAAGTTGCGAAAAACAAGTCGAAGAAGGCCAAGACGCAAGGCTCATCCTTCGCTGAGGTAGCCAAAAATCGGATCCTCCTGGGTGTGCTCGATGAGAACCAGGAAGACGAATTAGCACTTAGAGCTCATTGGAAATGGTTTAAAGCGGAATTGGCGAACATCTGCGTTAGCGTGCTTCGAGAGCACCCCGGTCCACCTACAATATGTCGGGACGCAGGTTGGTTCCAAGGCAACGTCAAGGTCGTCACGTGTGACGACGAAAGGTCTGCAGGCCTGTACAAGAAGGCGATGGCCACACTGGGAGAGGTCTACCCCGGAGTGATGCTACGGGTTATGGACTTCAAGGTCATCCCATCCAGGCCTAGAGCAAGGGCAAGGACACCGGCTAAACCGACCGAACCTGAGAGAGTGCTTGAGATTATAAGGCTCTTTAATCCCGAGTTACCCTCTCACAATTGGAAGGTGGTGCGACTAGAGCATAGCACAAAGGCGACTCGTCAGGCGGCCCTTCTGCTAAACAAGGAGTCCTTGCCACTCCTCGAAAATACTGGGGGCGTCATTAATTACGGTTTCGACACCGCGAAGATAAGGGTGTACACGAATGACGTGAACGCAGCAAGAGGCAACGAAGTTGAGCCGGAAGAAGACAATAGCGAGGATGAGGTGGTCGAGGAATCCAACCAGGCCAATCCGATGGACGACCTGGCTGGTGGATACGCCTCATCTACATCCTCTCTGGGAGTCGACCATATCTTCCGGCAATACACAGAAGAGGAGCTGATGTCAGACGACGACGAGGCAAACTCAACAGTGGTGGAGGGGGTGGGAAGGTGCGGCCAAGATAGTTCGCGTCCTCCAGATTAATCTTCACCACAGCAAAGCAGCGTCGGCTGCACTGCTGCTTCAGCTCTCAAAAGGGGCAGCAGACATCGCCCTCATCCAGGAGCCTTGGGTGATGGGGCATAGAATTTGCGGGCTGAAGTCGGCAGAGCACAATTTGATAAGTGGAGCTACCATAGGTAAACCAAGGGCCTGCATTCTTGTAAGTACCAAACGCAAAATATCTAGGCGTAGTCCTGGGCAAAAAGCTGAACTGGGCGC